TCTTTGGCTTTTTGGAGTGTTTTGCGACTGGCCATGCCCATCTTGACAGCTATATTGAGAATGGGTGAGGCATACACTGAGAGGCAGCCATTTCTGTGACAGCATCCACTGTAGTCTCAAGAGTCCAAATGTGACCATCAGTCCAAAGAGACTGAGGACCCCTGGAGTCAGAATCACCAATCTGGGACTGATGGTCCTGCAGTCACATAAACTGAAAAGTGAGGCCTCTTGACTGACTGGAAGTCTTAACCCAACAGTAGAGATACCTGAAACAGAATGGGAGAAGCCCAGGCCATTACTAAATTGTTCCAGCTGACTGCAACCTGGTCCGGAAATGGACACTGAATCTGGCTGTGTGCATCTTCCGGGAGCAATGAGCTCAAACCACACACAGCCACTTTCCAAGTTTTTCTCAGCTAGGAGGCCTATCTCTGCACAGTCACAAACATGAATAGGCCTCTTGATTCCAAGCAGGATAGTGGGCAAAGGTATCCTAGTATGGATTAAACTCATCCCAAGACACTCATATGTGCGTATGTTAAATACTCTGGGGGTATATGTCTATAGAAGCATCAAGTTAACACATACAAGCTCTCCCAGGCACAAACCAAACAGCTGCAGAGACAACATTAAACTCTGCTCCCCAGAAAAGATGAAACAGTGTCAGTGAAACAAATGGAGGAGATGCACACAATCTCTCGTCATTTTGAATATTTTGAGTTGTGCTAACTCTGTGAAGGCAAGGCCTCTGGAACTATGCCACTGCTACGGAAAATCTTTTTAAGTAACTTCTCTGGCACCTGAGATTTTTGTAGACAAGCAGTGCCAGGACACTTCCAAGCATATCTTCACAGCCCTAAAGGTATGCGAAAATACTCTTTTTAAAAAATGGGGTTTAAAAAATATACAAGCTAAGACTTCTATAAAGCTGAATCCTGCCATTCATTATCACATTCTGCACTGTTACTGCACTTTAGCAGAATGCCAGTAGACACACTCAGTCTTGAATATGATCCCTTCCTCCTCGGTATTAAAAGTAAACGTGAAACCCACACAATAGCATTAGAGGCATTTCCTTGCAACCAACTTCAGAGAAGGAAAGAACCAAATCTGCCAAGATCATGAAGGTTTAACTGGATAGGGTTTGCAGAAAGCATGGAGTTAGTAGGGTGTTAAGAATAGAGGGCTCTGCCCATCTCTGGAGTAAAACAGGGGAGACCTAAAACCACAAACCTTGACTGAGTGCCAGCAGCTTCTCTGCCCAGCTGGCCCAGTTCTGATAGGCACCTCTGAAGTCACTGATGCTCAGTCAAAAGACAGCATGACTCAGCACAGCAACTGTAATGTTAGCTGATTAGGAACATGAATTTCACTTTCCACATCTAATCCTGATTAAAGATGGATTAAGGACACCATGTTCTCCCCCATGACGTACCACCCTATCTCTTTCAACAGGCTGGTCCCTACAATCACAGACGTTTTTTGGTTTGAGGGGGAGGGTGGAACCACAATCCCTTTAGTCAGGCAACAAGTGTACATCTGACTGATAGCTATGCAAGTACCAGCTGCCAGGGTAAAGAAGATTGCCGGGAAACAGTCTGTAGGACTGCATGAGAGACTCTCCTGGAAGTGTTCCATTAAATGCATCAAATCAGAAAAGGGGCTGTTCTATATATTTCTAAGCCCACATTTCTCTCACTGTTGGTTAAATACAGGGGCCAGGAGGAGGGAGCTCCCACACAGAGCTGCTCAAAGCCAGACAGCCATGCTGTGCTCTAAGGAAGGGCAGGATAGGTGCCCCTCCATCCCCAAAAGAAATCCTTCGTGGCCACTACCATGTTCTCCTGCAACTGACCTACTTTTGCTTGCAACGTCCCAGGAGAAAGAATGGGATGCTGCACATGGAATCCCAATATGCTCCTAAACATGGGGAACAATCTTTTAATGCCTGTGTGGACTTTTGCCATCCTGAACTCTTTGTGATTCTAGCAAATTCTCACCACCACTACACACCCAAATACTTCTGATTCTGTCCCTGAAACAGAATCCTCCTAGCTGAGCTCTCCCCTTTAATGCACAGAGCAACAGAAGCTCCATTCGGTCCCACTGCAATCAGCACAGAGGAGGCGGGGAGGAGCAATCTATCCACCGTCCATCAGCATCCTTGCTTTCTGTGCTGATCACAGAGGAAGAGAAGCCCTTTTCCTCTGCAGGTAACACAGAAACTACTGAAGGATGGACAGCTTGGCTCCTCCTCTCCTCCATTTCTGGCTTGGTACAAGGCTAGTAGCCTGCATTTGCTGAAAACTCCTCCAGAGCCATCATAGAAATGCAGGCTGCAGGAGATTAACTGCTGGGGACTTATTTACAAGCCCAGTACATGCATGCTGGAGAGGGGGGAAGCCAGAGAGATGTTTGCTTTTTGGCCAAACGGAGAGCTGCGAGGTGCAAGACTGCATGGCCATAAGCCCTGCACCAAGCTGAACTACAAAGATGTGCTTGTCCCAGATTCAGAGGCCTTTGCCAGGATCACAATAATGCCAGAAATTGCTGTGCTAGCAGCATGCCATTTGCCCACTCACAAGCCCAGGGTTCTGTTCCCAAGTTCACTTCAGGACAGACGTCTGCAGGTGAATAATCTGCTCATGTGACAGGCACTTAAATGCTCAGTCTGCTAAGGGAGAGTTTTCCAATAAGATTACAGGGCAGGGTTAAAAAGAAACAAGGTCCTTTAGATCTGTACCAGAATGAAACCTCCCAAGAGCCTTAAAAACTCTAGAGAACAATGTGGCTATTTAGCAGTCTGAAGGGAAACTGAAACAAGTGGCTTTTTATCACTTTCCCTTTTGAATACTGGTTTCTCCTAAACTTCTAGATCTGCCAATGTCGTGCAATGCCAGTCACTTTCTGATTGTCCACAGCTTCAATCCTGGACTCACTTAGCTGGGAGCAGTGCAAGCTTCCTTTTGAGTAAGCATTCACACAATCAGGCTGCACTGGTGGGTACAGCAAAGCTGTTTGCTACAAGTCAATTTCTCATTTCTAGCAGGAACATGTCCAGTTCTACCTTTTAACTCTTCCTAGGATTAAACTATTAAATTAAAAAGCTAATAGTCAATCCCTCCTCCCTACAAAGGCATTTGGGCACACTCACTTTGAGCTTCTTAGGGCCTTTACTATAGCAGACTTATTTTAGCGTGTCAGTAATTTTCACAGCTCTTCTATCCACTTTCCTCAGCGCTGTCATAAACCACCTACATTGCTCATTCAGACAGTGAAGGATGGACTGAGCATATCTTTACCAAGCACTGTACTCTCAGTGCATGTTTGCTGACCTTCTCTAGTTGATATGCCATAGTTTTATTGCAGACAGCATCAGTTTGTGTCTTTCCTTTAGCTCCCTCTTTAGCGGCATTTGCATTTTATTCTCAGTAAATGTATCATTATAAAAGGGAGAGAAGAGAAAAGCACAATGGCGATCATGGGCACACAGGTCCCAATCACCACAAAAAACGAGGAGAGTAACATGAAACTTTGGTCAGAACCGCCAGTTATCTTGCCCATGTAGCTTTTTAAATTGCAGTGACTGCACCTCCTCCACAAAGCATTGTCAGAAGGAAGCTACTTGCAGCAGAGAAGCACCAGGCTGGCAGGAGGAGCTTAACCCTTCCTCTACTACACTGCTCTTCTGCAGTTTTCTGTCCTCTTCCCATCTCCCCTAGCCCACAGCCAATTTCTCCCTAACTAAGGTTCCACTGTCAATTTGGGGTGAGCATGGCAGACAAGATAATTTTAAAACTATCTCTCCTCTCGCCTCTCCTTCTGGGAACTCAATGTGACTAACAAACATCATAGATTGAGCAACTACAATCATCCTTGCAGTGGATAACAAGATGAAAATGAAATATTAAAGCACAGATCTAACTGAGGAAATAGCTACACTGCCATTCAAACTATTGCACTGGATTGTTGTGGTAGCAGTTGTGTGTTGCAGGTTTTGTTTTAGCCAGTGCTTGCCATTTTCAGGAAGGTTTGCTGCTGTTTCTCTACTCTTTCAATTACTGCAGCAGGTACTACTATGTGAGCTAAATTGTTGAATGCTCCTTAAAAGGCAGTCAAGAAAAGCTTCAAATAACAACAGGGGTGTGTGTGTGTGTTAAGAGACAAATTGCAAACAGCCCATTCAAAGTCAGCTTCCAGAAGATTGTGAATGAGGAAGTGGGATGAGTTCCTCCCCTAAGAAGAGGGTTGTGAGAAAGCACTTCTTCCTGGAACATTTCTATTAGGAACTGCCCCTTCCCAATACTACTTTGCAGAGGAGAATTGCTGGCCTGCAGGTACAAGTATGAAACAGCCAGATAACATGAATACCTATTCTGTGTTTGAAAGCAAACTGGTCTGCACTATTACTCATTTACTAGCTTTATTGAGACCAAAAATAAAGGAAATCTAACTTAGATATAAAACACATGAGTCATTCATAAAATATTGTTTTGCAGTCAGTAAAATATTACTTCACTTACTGATTAAAAGGAAATTAACTGCAATGTACTGATTACAGCCTTTCCCCACCTTTTTTCACCGTATATCTGCCGTATATATATAATTTATCTGATTTCTTCTCATTATGTTTCAGTAATCACTTCCCATTTGGCTAACAACAACCACAGCCAAGGGCTGTGTCCCTTAATAACATAATCAAGATCACATCAGACTTTCTGCAGTCTGAGCTCAGAATAAGATGCATTCAACATTGTGTAGCTCCCAGACGTAGCTTCCTAATCTGCAGGTAAGAAGGGGTGAGAAATGCATTAGGTCCACAATGAAGCAAATTTACCACATTTATATTTCAGGAACTAGTATGCAGCTACAAGGTACTGAGATGTGCCACCTACACTCTTTGCTCCCAGTGGTATGACACTGGCCTATGCCTGCATCCAGGGCCCCTCCAACAGCCAGATCTTCTGCACAAAGCTAGGCCAGGCTGGAGGACAGCTTACCTCGACAGTGAGGCCCTTCATCTGAACCATCCACGCAGTCACGTTCACCATTGCACAGCTTGGTCATGGGGATGCAAAGTTCAGTGCCCAGGCAGTTGTGTTCATTAGGCTGACATCTTGACACCTTGCTCTGTGGACCTGGAAACAGGGAGAATCACAACCATCATGGGAGAAGATGGATAACTAAGGGTTATGGTAACCCATGGTGAATTCTTGCAGCAAGGAATAGAAGTATGTGTGTGAGGTGATGCTCAGGCATGCAAAAAACGAAAGACTTCTTACACCACATTTATTTGCATATGAAAACACACATGGGACTCTTGCAGAAGGCTGATACATGAAATAGTTACTTTCAATTAGCAAACAAAGCAAGCAGTGGGGTACAGCACAGGAACCAAAAGACATGGGTTCTAAGGTCCTACTGCAAGGTCCTACCTCCTATGTTCTCTCCATGGTAATGCCACTGCCAATTCTGGATTAGGCCATGCACTTGACCCTCACACTCGACTTGACCAGATGGGTTTTAATCCACCTAGATCTTTTTCCTCTTGCTGCTACTAACTTCCAGATTTTACTCCCAAAGAAAGCACACCATACAAGTCAGCTGCCTTGAGAAGTTCCACATTAAGGTTTATTTTAGCTAGATTCCTGCACAGACCATGGTGGAGTGTCATGGAGTGAACCAGTTCATCCATCAAAGTGGTTTGCTATTTAGAAACACCCCCCCCCCCCGCCGCCCATCAGCCACTTAATCACAACTGGGGAATGCATCATTAAAAAGCCACTTTATTTAAGAAGCTAATAAATGAGCTAATTTATTTCGTGTGACAAGCTTGTGGTACACCCCAAAGGGCTGCATTAGACAGGAATTTTTAACCTTGCAAAACCACTTTAGTTGTTCTTCTACCCATAAATATATGCCCTTTAATTGATTTGGCTGGAGCCCAAAGACAAATAAAATTGGGAAGGCCATAACTGAGGAGATAAGGTGGTCTGAACTGGAAGCCCAGAAAGTTAACCAGCTACAAAGCTTGGTAGCATGAAGCAGCAGAGGATTCTGCTTTGCCTGCAGAAGGTCTAGATAATATGCAACCCCCCAGAAGTTTTAGCTGTACATCAGCACAGAGCAGGGGGAGTGGGGTGATAAAAGCTACAGCCTAAAACATCTGGCAGCCCCCAATTCACAAACAGAATCCACCTCCCAGCAATTACACAAGAATACTTATTTATTTAAAGTTTCTATTAACCATTCCTTAGTAAACACTCTCAGAATGGTGTACAGCAATTAAAACAGCCTAAAATATAAAACAAAGCATATACATAATAATTTAAAATTAAATATAATAAACCACAATAAACCAAATAAATAACAACAACACAATAGCAAGTGATCCATGGCAACCAATCATCATATATTAAAAACCAATATAAAATCAAAGTCTTCCATTCAGCAATTAAAATAACGGGCAAATAAAAAGGTTTTAACCTGGCTATGAAGTGTATAAAGCATTAGTAGCAGGTGCACCTCACTGAAAAGCTAGTTCCATAATTGGGGTGCCACTACAAAGAAGCACTCTCCCATGACCGCCACTTTCCTTTTTTCTTTTCAAGGTGGCTCCCAAAAAGAGGGAGCCACCTTTAAAAGAAATTTCTTCTCCTGCCTCTGAAACAAGGAAGATCCACTGGAAATCTATCCATTCTACCCACTCTTTATCACTGTGATCCAAATACCCTTTTGTGTATAGCCCTTCATAGCCTTCCTTTCCAATCCCTGTAACCCTCTCCATTCCTCCCTTCATCTCTTTTTGCACTGTCACTATTATTAAGCTTTCCTGCTGGTCCTATGCTAAGGACAGGTTTATCCATGGATTTGTTTCTGTAAACTTGTACGTTAAAATTAAACTTCTAATTTCTCCCACTTTGCCAAAGTACAGGTTTGATGTATTATGCATGTCTATTATACATAGTGAATTATACCATGTGTGTATAAAGATTCCCACCTGTTTGCATACATGTGCAAGTTCATATGCCCACCTGAATGAGGCCCTTCACTAACAAAGCTGTACCTGCATAACGCCAGGATGGACTGCAATTACTGCTACACTCAGCTGTGTTTTACTGCCTCATAACTTTGCAGACACTGTGATAACCTTAAAAGGGAGTTGCCAATCATAGCAAATGCAGCAAGGCAAAGGTTGGATTCTTGCTTCCGCGCTGGCAGTACGATAGACTAGGAGGAAGGGATAAGCATTAAACCAATTTCGAAACTCCAGCTGTTAAGTCTTACCAATCAAGTTGCATTGCTTCAATGACAGGTCTTTGACACCAGCAGAAGACAAGTACTGTCAACATGCTAGCAAAAAACAGACCTTAGATACAAGTGCAGTAACAGACTGCTGTGACTGTTTGTCAGAGCTGTGTGCTACGAACCTTGTAGCAGGTTGCTTAGCACTGACTGTCTTATTCTCCCTATTTTGTCCTTTGTCAGAACAAAGCATCTCTCTTATGCTTTAACTTTGCAATCCAGTGCCCTACCTGCTCCCTGAGAGCACATGCTTAAGTTGCATTACAAGGCACAGAAGGCATGTCTCTGCTGGGGCCAAGGGGGAGCAGGTGTTGTGCCACATAATATACTTTGTATTTTAAAAAATGCCACAATATGTGTTTTAAATGGCAGTTCAGATTGTTCTGATTATCTCAGGGTGCAATTCTCTGCCTGTTTAGACAGAAAGAAGTTCTACAAAAAAGTCCATTCCCCAATGCTGGAAGTTGTAGGACCTTTTTTCTGACAAAATGTGCATGGAATTGCACCTTAAATTAGGACTGGACTGAGTTGTTTAGCATGTGGCTTTTATTCATGTTGGTTTCGAATTTATGGTCAGCAGGCAGGGATACAATCATGGCTAAAATTCCTATGGACTGGCAGAGCAGGAACTCATGGTTGAGTCAGCAGAAGAAGCCTTGCAATGGCAGAGTACTAGCAGAGAAGGGTGAAAAAAGGCAGGTTGCTCACCTGTAACTGTCATTCTTCGAGTGGCCATCTGTGCATCACACACATGGGTGCTGCGCCTGTGCAGTGCCTATGGCCAGAAAGATTCAAAAGCTTAACGGTTTTAGCGGGAACTCCACCCCCCCCCCCAATGGTATAAAAAGGTGGAGTGCCCGCCATTTCCTCAGTCTACTGGAGACCGATTGTTTGCCCCCTCACGGGAGCGAGAGATATCGCAGGGAGTCTGCTGAACTGTAGGGAAAAAGGGGGCACTAATGGAACCAGTATCAAGAAACGGTACCGTATAAACCCAATCACTGACACCAAGTGGGGCCGGTGGGTGGGTTGTGTGAATGCACAGATGGCCACTCGAAGAACAACAGTTACAGGTGAGCAACCTGCCTTTCTTCGTCGTGGCCTCTGTGCAACACACATATGGGTGATTAGCAAGCTTATCAAACCCAGAGGTGGGCAATGTCATCATTGAAGGACAGAAGAAAGGACTGTCTGACCAAAGGAGCAGTCATGTCTGGCACGCACATCAAGGCGGTAATGTCTGGCAAAGGCGCAAGGAGCAGTCCAAGTAGCAGCCTTGCAAATGTCCTGGATTGGAATGCCAGCGGTAAAAACAGAGGAGGCTGCTACCACCCTCGTGGAATGCCCTCTGGGCATGACAAGTAAGTCAAGCTTGGCAAGCTGATAGGCTAGCTCGATGGTCTGTACAATCCACTTTGAAAATCTCTGCGAACCAACAGGGAAGCCCTTATCATAGTCCAAGTATTTAACAAAGAGGTGGTTAGATTTACAGAAAGACTCTGTGAGAGACCTGTAGAAGGCAAGGCAGTGACGAACATCAAGAGAATGCAACGACCGTTCAATTGGTGTAGCGGGCATAGGGGAAAAGGTCGATAAGACAATGTCCTGGTTAATATGGAAAGGAGACACAACCTTGGGTAGGAACACCGGATCAGTGCAGAGAACGACTTTCTCCTTATGGAAGTTAAGGTAAGGAGGATCTATCCGAAGTGCGTAGAGTTCACTAGCCCTTCTAGCGGATGTGACCGTGATGAGGAAGGCAGTCTAAGTCAGTAGTTGCCAGGGGCTCAAAAGGAGCTCGGGTGAGTGCCTGGAGAACAACCGAGAGGCTCCGGGTAGGAATAACTGGAAGAAGGGGTGGTTGCAGGTTCTGTAAACCCTTGAGGAATTGACATATGAGGGTATGAGAAAAAACTGAAGGACCCTGCACCTGCCCACAGTAGTGGGAAATTGCCGCTGTATAAACCTTAACAGAGGATGGCTTAAGTCCCAATTGATGGAGTGATAAGAGAAATTGAAGGATATTTTCAACAGAGGCTGAAGAAGCAGTAAAGCTGTTGGATTCCACAAAGGATGTGAAGCATTTCCATTTGGCAGCATTAAGACCAACGAGTTGCAGGTCTTAGGGCAGACTGGAGAATAAACTGAATCTCAGGACGGAGACTGCTCAGATTCGATGTGGAGTCTACTGGGATCGGGGAGACAGAGGCTGTATCGGGACAGTGTCGAACAAGCGCAGGAGTCCCTGAATCCACTAGTACTGAATGGACCCCGTGGTTCATTGAATGAGCCAGGCAGTTAGACTGAGTGAGGGAAGATCCAGGTGACGAACAGCTCCGTCCTGTTGAGTTATTAGATGAGGTATGAGAGGCAGGAGGAGAAAGGTGCTGCCAGATAGACGAAGGAGAGTAGGGAACCATGGTTGGCAGGGCCACCAGGGGTGATCAGGATCCCCGTGGCACCGTCATACATGATCTTGGCTAGGACCTAGGACGGCTTGGGACCTGGATACCTGAAGGAACGCCTTCTTCCATATTTGCCCTCCCGCCCCTTGAGATCAGCAGGAGAGTCTCTCCTCCAGGAACCCTCCGTGAAAGATATCAGGAGGCAAAGTACCCGGAGGAGGGTTTTCTCTGCAGTGGCGCCCCATCTATGGAATGCGCTCCCCAGAGAGGTCCGCCTGGCGCTGTCATTATTTGTTTTTCGGTGCCAGGTTAAGACCTTTTTATTCCAGCAGTATTTTAATAAGTTTTAATATTGTTTTTTCTATGTTTTTAATTGCAGCCAGTGTAAGGAATTTTATTTATGCTATTACATTGTAAGCCGTCCTGAG